GCGACGTTTTTGACCCCAAATACAATTTCGTTTTGACCCTAAACGTGGTTATTACTTTTGTTTGAATTGGATTTTTTATGTATAAAAAGCTAGATGCAAGAATACGTTTGAAATCCAAAGATTTTGAACAACTTTGGAAAAATAAATGGAATGAAGTCTTGTTTATCAGGTCATTTAACTGTAGCATGAAAAAGTTACTTGGATGCCAATAAATATAAGATCCAAGGGAACTATGCAATATGTTAATTCAGTGTCTTTATATGTTGTGCCTTTCAAATTAAACATAGTAATAATTTGTTAATAAGGAAAATAATTATTGAATATAAACATCCTACTCATGTTGTTTGCAAGGGATAAGTAACTGTTGAGATATATATATATATATATAAGTTACAATTTGTGTTATTAATGTGTTATGAAGAGAATTTATACGCTTCAATTGGTATCCATTTTATTATTTTATCTTTTAAAATTTTACGTTTATTAGTTTCTAACTACCAACATGAATTAAATTTATTATCTTTAAAAAATAAAATAATGTAGCATGAGGTTTTACTCAATAAAAGTTTCTTTTTTCCATGAAGAAATAGGATGCAGCAGAAACCCACATAGATAATGGTGAAAAGAGTTTTTAACCCAAACTTCACTATTTCATGCACAAATCACACTTTTGGCTAATTACAAAATGACAAAATGAAAACCCAAGCAACAGCGAAAGCTCGAGCCAATTTGTCCATTTTTATTAAATTTATTATCAAAATTATAATGAAATTCAAATAAATTTTCTTTAAAACAATAATTAAATTTCAATTTAGATTCAAATAAATAATTAAAAAAAATTGTTTGAGAAATAGTACATAACAATTTTAAGCAAAAATTTGATTTAAAATACGCACTTCAAAATTTTCATTTCAAAATATTAGCCAAGGTCTTCTATTTCTCTATCTTTCTCAATCTCATCAGTTGTAAATTCTATCATATAGTGACAATTTTATATTTTTAGTGATAAAAATGCATTTTGTTATAATATATTCTTTGAAATGACAGTTCAAAAAACTAGTCATTAATATTACACTTCCTTATTTTTTTATAACGTGATGGAAACGTTCACATTATAGAAAAATTATGCAATGGGACAATTAGTATTTTGCTTAGAGTGTAAAACCAAGTATAAGACCTTATTTTCCCCAAAACTAAAACTCTCTTCACGCTACATACGCAATGTAATTGTGTTATTAGAAACTTTTAAATATCCGAATATTTGAATTTAAACCAAATCTAAGAAAAAAATCAATCCTAATGGAATATTATATTTTTGAATCGATTTTTTATTTTTTAATTTTTATCTCATCCTACAGGATAGCTTCTTTATATTCTTTTATGACGAATGATGGTGAAATCCTCGTGGCTATGCTGAAATGGTTCCTATATGGCTATCTGGAGAAGAGTTTTGGCGTTGACAAAAAATCAGGAATTGAATCTCAAAGGTAAGACGGATTACACTTGAGAAAAACAAATGTATCAACATCAGTAGTAATTAATTAAATTGTAAATTGAAAAAAATTAACTTTGACAAGTCCTATCAAGATTTTTCGAATTGACATTTGAATAAACTAGTCATTAACATCACACTTTCTCGAACGTAGCCAGAACGTTATAGAAAAAATTTGCAATAAAAAAAATAATATTTTCTTTAGTGTGTAAAAGTAAGTAGAGAAGAACTTATTTTCCACAAAACTAAAACCTTTGTTCACGCTACAAACTAGACAATAGAAACTCATTGTCAAGCAAATTTGAGTTAATCTGTCCAATTACTTTCTATCAGGCCACCCAACATCATTAAATGCATTACCTAAATTGCCAGTGATGCTTTGACCCCAAATCCAATTTCGGTGCGAAGAGGAGCTAGCTCATCACCGAACTGGATTTTTACTAATTGGCTTCCATTTTACTATTTTATTTTTTAAAATTTTATGCCATTTAATTTCTAATTACCAACATGAATTAAATTTATTATTTTTTAAATATAAAATAATGCATTGAATAAAAATAAAAAATAACAAAAATAATAAATTCAATAAGTGAAATTTTATTTTATTTTAAATTTTTTAAAATTCAATGTTTTATATTTATTGTTTTGGATTTATTATTATTCTTATTCTTTTAAAAGTTTGTATTTTAGAATTAGTATTTTGTTTTATTATTGCCTTTATTATGTTTTATAAGTATTATTAAAATTAATTACCATATTATTCAATTTAAAATTATTTTTCATAAATAACTTTTTAAAAAATGTACCATGCAACATGAGGGCATCATTCTAGTAATATATTAAAGTATAAATTTTTTCCTTAATTAATAGCTCATATAATTTTTTACAATTAGAACTATGTAATTTAGCACTCTGTTATTGATAGATAAATCTAAACATTTGGTATTCATAGTTTAAGAATCTATGTATACATATATACATATTTGTATATGTATTTCATTTAATTAACGTGAATATGAAGGCAAAGTCAATGTCAAGATCCCCTCAAACAATGAAATATTTGATGTTATATAATCTCGTAGACTTAAAAGTAGATATCGACCGGAACTCATAATACATGTTTTTTTTCTTTCCACGGAGAATAAAATGTAGCAGGAAGCCACTTGGAAAGTGTGGAAAGAATTTTTTAACCCACACTCCACGATTTTATGACTCACACTTTGGACTAAAGTATTCATTACAAAATGACAAAATGAAAATCCAAGTTGCAGTTGAAGTGCCAATTTGTCCCTTTTTATTATCTTTGTTATTCTCTCTGTCTCATTTTTTTGTTTTTAGAATGTCCTAAAATTATATCTTTTCTTTTTGAACATCTAAAACTCTTACTTTTTTATATTTTAAAATTATTTTTATGATTTTTTTTATTTTTTAACATTAAAAATCATGAAACTTTAATTTATAAAAAATATTTAAATTTTAATATTAAATACATTAAAGTCAAAACTTTTTTCTTAAACTCCGTAAAAGTCAATAAAATGACAAATATTTTGGGATAGAGGGAGTATTAAAATATCAAAATTATATTGAAAGCAAAATAAATTTTCTTTAAAACAAAAAATAAATTTGCATTTAAATTCAAATAAACAATCTTTAAAAATATATATTTTGAGAAATAGTGCATAACAATTTTAAGCAAATTCGATTTAAAATACACACTTAAAATTTTTATCATTTCAAAACATCAACCAATTTAAAGTTAACATTATTAATTAAGGATGAAATATTTAAGTTAATAAATTATCAAAAGCATATACATATATATATATATACATATATATATGTCGTTCACTATATATTTGCACTTTCAAAGTTTATGGTTTTTAATACAGTATAGATAAATATAGATATAGTAAAATCTTATAAAGTAAATAACATTAACCCAATGAAAGTACCTAATATATTCAAGATTTTCTCTTCCCTTTAAACTTCTTGAAATGTATCAAAAAATGGAATTAACAAAGTGGTCTTAACATTTTTCTTTTGGTGTTTATGGAAGCTTATAGAGTTTGACTTACAAAATCTAAGTAATTTACTCTCATTTTAGGTATTACTCCTAACATTTTCTTTGTGAAATTTAAATTTGAGACTTTCAAGTTAAATGTGTTGTCTTTGAGTTAGTATCTTATATATTATAAATATAATCATATATATTGGATGCATTGTTATAAGGTGAATCAGACAATATCATCTCATTAATGAATAAGTTTTTAAATATATTTTAATTTTTACATATTTATTTAAAGACTAAATTTATTCATTAATAAATTAATATCATCTAATTCAGCAACAATATATAGAATCTATACACAATGCAGTAAATATAAACCCAAAATAAAATTACATATAGAAAAATAAAGAATTTGATGAAACCAACAAGAGCATAACGTAAATTTGCAAACTTTTATTATGGTAGAACTTATAATATCATTGTTCATTTCTAAACCAATTTTGTTTTTAGTACGTTAAAAGCTTGAATTTATAAAGAAATTTAAAAAGAAAAAGAAAAACTCTTAGTCAACAAATCAAAATATTTTGTGTTCATACTTTAAGAATCTAAGTATACAAATATATATATATATATATATATTCCATCTAATTATAGTGGATATGAAGGCAATGTCAATTTCAAGGTTGATGCCATTGTCAATATTTGATGTTATAGTCTTTTAGACTTAAAAAAAAAAAAAGAAAACTGAAAAGTAGTTATATTGACTGGAATTTGCAATAAGATTTTCTTCTTTCCACGAAGAAATAGTATGTAGCAGGAAGCTACATGGAACATTAAGTGTGGAAAGAATTTTTTTTTTTTCTCTCATTGATTTTTCCTTTTATCAAATGAACTCAACTTTAACCATTAATTTTGAAAATATAATGTAATAATAAACTTTCAAAAGTATATAATTTGAAAACTTTGGAATTCAAAATTTCAAGTCTTAGTTTTTAAAAATTTATAGCAGTTTAATCTTTTGAAAAAAATAGCTAAAGTTGAGTTCATTTAATAAAAAGATCATTAAAAACAAATGAATTGAAATGGATAGAACATTAAACACCAAAACAAATTTGACATTGTACTGTGGATTAATATTAAAATTTTTTCCTTATAATTTAATTCGTTGAATTTTGTCACAATACTTTTAATTTAGGTAAATTTTTTAACAAAAAATAAAGAAATTGAAATAAATCACGAAATAATTTATTTATACAAATGACAAATCTGCTCAATGCATTGTCAATTAATGTTGATTTTGAATATATCAGTATGAAAATGACAAACTTTCATCAATTTCATCGCCTTATATTCAAAAGTCATTTTATAGGGATGGCTATTATTGCCTAACTCCTTGATTGGCTATATATATTAAGCTCGATGCAAGGCTTATTGTTATAAATTTATAAGTAGCAGTTGAGAGAGAATTGAAAATATAGAGATATAATAGAGAAAGAGATGATGGAACCCAAATGGTTGTGGTTGAGTGTGTTGTTGTTGTTGTTAGGAGGGTACGGATGGCATGGTACTGATGCTTGTTGGGAGGATGAGAGGATTGCTCTCTTGCAACTCAAACCTTTCTTCAATCGTTTAAATTATCTGAACAGCTGGGAAGAGGAGGTAAAGGGTTCAGATTGCTGCCAATGGGAAAGGGTCGAGTGTAACGCCTACTCCTCCTCCAGGCGAGTCATAGGACTCTCTCTTAATTATACAAGATGGTCCTACAAAGAAAGATGGTATCTCAATGCCTCTTTGTTTCTTCCTTTCAAGGAATTGAAGCGTCTTTATTTGCCAGAGAATAACATCGCTGGTTTCGTTGAAAGTGGAGGTCCATTTTGCCCTTTCATTGCTAATTTGCAATATGAAAATTCATTCATAACTTTTTCATTTTTACAATCATATTTAATTCTATTATTGTTTTATTAATGAAAAGCCATTAAGTCCTTATTATATATTTAAAAGAACTCTCTTGCAGGTTTTGCAAAGCTAAATTTGGAGATCCTTGATTTAAGTGACAATTACCTCAATGATACAATTTTATTATCTTTGAGTCGGCTTTCATCTCTCAAGGATTTAAATCTAGCAGGAAACTTGTTCACAGGATCAACTCATGCAAACGGTAGAGTTAAAATTAATCTAATAATTATTATGAATGATATACAGTAATTAAAATATTAATCTATCTTCGTTACAGGTTTCCAGTGGCTTTCAAGACTTAGTTATTTGGAAACTCTTGATTTAAGTTACAACGGATTGAAAAATAACATATTGTTTTATATGAATGGTCTTTCATCTTTAAGGACTTTAAGTTTAAGTGAAAATCACTTGGAAGCAACTCTTCATATTCACGGTAAACTCGTTTTACCTCTAATTTATGTTAAAGTCAATTATTGTTTCAAGAAAAGCTCTTGCATTAATTATTTGATTTTATATATAGAATATAATTAATTACTTGTTGAGGTTGAATAGAATTGAATAATTTGACGAACTTGAAGAGCTTAGATTTAAGCTACAATAGAATTGAAAGCTTCCAACCATCAAAGCAAGGTATAAATATATATTTCAATTCACTCAACTAAATTCTTAATTATGTGATTAACGTATAAAATTTTTAATTGACAATAGCATATAATAGAATTATATACTTTATGTACAGGAAAAAAGACACAACTGAGGTTGACTAATTTGAAAGAACTTGATTTAAGCAGTAATCTCTTGAGGAACAGCATATTTTCCTTCCTGTGGGGGTTTTCAAGTCTAAAGTCCTTATGCATGAGGCGGAACCAATTGCAAGGCTCAATAGATGTTGAAGGTAAAGCTTTTACAACCTTTGTTTTTTTTTTTTAATTCTTTTTAGAAGCCTTAAACTCATAAAAAAAATTTTTTTTTGCTAAGTCAAAGGTATTTATTAATTAATCAAAAGGTTACAAAGCCAGCATAAAGTTAATTCAGCAGAGCAAATAGATGTATGCATTCAAACCAAACTGACAAAAAACCACCCAAAGCATATAACTGAAGACAAAACACCTAAAAATTACACCACCTCACCCATAAGCCAATTAACCGCCCGACAAAAGCGAGCCATGTGTGTTTTCAATTTCCTGTATTGTCGTCATAGAATCACTCTCCACTATCACCTGCTCTGTACCCTGTTCAAAAGCTAGTTGCAGTCCCCAAAGGATCGCTCTTACCTCTGTATGAAGGGAACTTTCACTCCAGTCTACCCAAGTCACTGCTGAAAAAACCACGTTACTATTTGAATCTCTAAGAACAGCACCTAGCCCAGCTTTTTGTTCTCTGAACCTAACGAGCTTTAAAATATCCAGTACAGGAGGTTGCCAACTCTATCCTTGTGGTGTCCTCGAGATCATAGTTGGTTAGGCAACCAATTCTAGCCTTTCCCTACGCGGGCTGTCCTTACCAATGATTTAGCACAAGTTACGTGATGGAGACATTTTAATTACAATCCTCACATTGTAATTCTTATTGTGTTAATTATAATACCATAATTCTTCATATTTTTATGTTTGATTATATAATTACATTAATATTAACTTAATAAATATTATATTATTTTCAAAATGTGAAATGAAACCCAGTTAAGATTCTAATTGTACCTTTTGTCTCTTGGATAGTCGCAGTTGCTAATATTAAAACTTTTGGTTGCAAAATAACATTTCTTGTTCATACTATCTGGTAGGACAAAAGCTATTAGCTTAAGAATCAAGCTACACTTATTGGCCAAAAAAAAAAAATCAAGCTACACCCACTTAAGAAGGAGGATGTCACTTATTATACTGTCAGTCATTTCAAATTTTTGATTGGGATAAGAAATTCGAATCCAACTCTATGTAAGATAAAGACAACCAAACCAAGTGCTCAAGTGTGATACTTATTTAAGTGGGAAAATCGATACATGACTGAATTAGAAACAGTTGAGAAACCATTTTGTGGTTTTTCTTTTTATTTTTGTTTTCTGAAGTTTCCTAAGTATTTGTGTTAATGGATCAAGTCATGCAAACAATAGAGTTAAAATTAATCTAATAGTGATTATGAATGATATATAATAATTAAAATATTAATCTTTTTTTATTACGGGCTTCCAATGTCTTTCAAGACTCAATAATTTGGAAACTCTTGATTTAGGATACAACTCTTTGAAAAATAACATATTGTTTCTTATTAATGGTCTTTTATTTTAAGGACTTTAAGTTTGATGAGAAATTACTTGAAAGGAATTATTTATATTCACGATAAACTTGCTTTATCTTTCTTTTACGTTCAAATCAATTGTTGTTTCAGGAAAAGGTGTTGCATATCATTTGCTCTTATATGTAATATTAATTACTTATTGGCATTGAATAGGATTGAATAATCTTACAAATTTGAAGAACTTGGATCTAAGCTACAATAAAATTAAAAGCTTCAGACCATCGAAGCAAGGTATAAATATATATTTCAATTCACTCAACTAAGTTTTTAATTATGTGATCAATGTATAAAATTTTCCATTAACAATGGCATATAACAGAAATATTTTTCTACAGGAAAGGAGATACAACTAAGGATGACCAATTTGGAGGTTCTTGATTTAAGTAATAATCTCTTCAAGAATGACACTTTTGCATTCCTTTCTGGCCTTCCAAGTCTAAAGTCCCTGTATATGAGGGACAACCAATTGCAAGGCTCAATAGATATTCAAGGTAAAGCTACTACAGTTTTTTTTTTTTTAATTTTTTTAATTCTGTTTTAGAACCTTTTTGCTCATCAAATAGGTAAAATCACATATCACATTTGGGGATTTTTCCTCTTCACTTAAAGCTTTAGATTTGTCTTGCCTTTTCACTTCATTATAAAGTCATTAAAAATATTCAGTAAAAGATTATTTGAGTAACCAGGCTAACATAATGATTATTTGAATTGAACTTGGACATAGAATTGAATAATTTGATGAATTTAAGTTAAATGGATCAATAGATATGAAAGGTAAAATTACTTTTTTTTTTTTTGCAAAAATTTTGAATTTGTTAACAAAAATCTTAATTCATGTTTCAAGATGATATAACAAATAAATTTATCTGTTTGTTTTCTTTAATGATGAAATTATGTAAATTATTTATAGATACTGAGAGACAGTTAAAATTGACCAATTTCTAATCGCTTGATCTAAGTCATAATCTAATTAATTATTACTTTTCAACCAAACTTTCAACTCTTTTATAAATACTTAAAAAAAAAACACATTTCGTGTTTTCAAATGATTTAATGAAGTTTATTTATTACTTTTTTTTCCAGACTTGAGTGCTTTTACCAACTTAGAGGAACTGGATATGAGCTATAATGATCTGAATGAATTTGTGGCTTGTAAAGGTATGGATTTAAATAAATTTTCCATTTTTATTTGTGAGGTTTATAATGATGCAGATGTTTTAATGATCAACAAATTTAGCATATTAAAATTTAATCTCAATTTTTTAAAGGAAGAAATTAATTTTTTATTATATACTTTTTACTACAATACTACTATTCTCTAATTATAATAAAGAATTATGTAAGAATCCACAATTTATAAGTGTGACCTCCACATAAAATTTTGTTAGACCTCATGCAATTTTGAATTATGATGCTTTAGTCGTATTACAATGATTGTAGGTGAATGGCTCTTATTAAAATTAATGCCCAATTTTTTAAAGGAAGAAATTCATTGTAATTTGATTACTAATTAGAAAATGATATATATTTGCCTTAGATAATTGCTTTCTTTAAGAAGTGTTGCAACGGCATATCAAATATTTCCCTTTTTGTTTGTATCACCTTGTTGTGTCTTAGATTACTACGTATTCTTATTACCGTTTAAAAAACTTTGACTTTTCATGTTACCATTTTGTTTGATTTTCATCTTTTTGATTGTTTCGTATATTAAAATTTATATTAAAAATATTTAACGACTCAATATTCTTCTCTATTAAAAATTCATCTTGCATTAATCTTGAATATATAATCTTATCTACAAAAATGAAAATTTTCACTTATTTATTTTTTTCATTTACAGAGTATAAGAGTTTGAAAAAGTTAAAAGTTCTTCGTCTAAATGCGGTTTTCACCAATGGAAGCATTCCACGACTACTAAAATTAGTAAAGGCATTCCCATCAGTTAAGACCTTCTATCTAAAACATAATTACTTAAACAAGACTATGGCTACTCAAGATCAAGGTAAGTCATTAATTTATTCCAAAAGAACGTAAATTAGTAGTTGTTTGTTGATTAACATCTAATAATACCTCCTATGCTACAACTACTAATACCTCCTATGCTACGATTACTCAGAATTGCATGTGTGGAGCAATGTGGAGGAAATATTTCTAGACCGTTCTTATCTTAACAACAACATTTTGCAAAGCATTGGAGTATTCACTTTTCTTAAAACTTTGTCTTTATATGAGTGTGGACTTATTGGTTCCTTACCTAATCAAGGTAAATTAAAGACTCTAATTTCTCCAATATAACTCATGGAATACATCTATTTCCAATAATCCTTTATTCTATTTCTTTCATCTAATATCTTTTATATATATTCTGTTTTGGAAATCAAATTTTAATTAAAATTTCTTCCATGAATTTATAAAATTTTCAGGTTGGTGTGATCTAAGGAACCTTGAAAGTTTGGATATCAGTGGGAATGCACTTGAGGGGATACTTCCTTATTGTTTGGGTAACTTGACATCTCTTCTTGAGTTAGATATCTCCTACAATCAATTTACTGGAAATTTGACTCCTTTAGCAAATCTTTCATCACTTAGATTCATCTCCCTTTCAAGAAACCGTTTGCAAATTTCAATGCCATTCCTGTCACTTGCGAACCTTCCAAATCTCAAATTCTCTTCTGTGATGAAAACAAGATGGTAATAGAACCTAATTCCTTTCATACTTCAATTCCAAAGTTCCAACTAAATTTCATCAGTTTGTCAAAGTGTACAACAGATAAAGGACTTAGTCTACAACCTTTTAAGTTCCTTTATTACCAATATGACTTAAGATATGTTGATCTTTCCTATAACTATTTCAGTGGAACAGTCCCGTTATGGTTGTTAGAGAACAACACAAAATTAGAAAATCTCTTCTTGTTGGGTAATTCTTTCACTGGTCCTCTCTTGTTACCACAGCTTCTTCTTCCTAATGTGTCTTCAATTGACATATCTAACAACAAATTACAAGGTCAAATTCCGACAAATGTATGTTTAACTTTTCCAAATTTGGATAAGTTATTCTTATCTAAGAATGCCTTCAAAGGTAATATCCCTCATTGTTTAAGTGGCATGGACACTTTATCAGTTTTAGACCTATCAGACAATCATTTGTCTGGAAGAGTACCAGAAAAGTTGATAATGAAAAGCTCATTAAATATTCTTAGGCTATCAAATAACAACCTAAGTGGAAAGATTGTTCCTATGATGTTCAACACAAAAATGTTGTCAAATTTGTATTTGGATGGCAATCATTTTGCTAGAGAGATACCTGATATTGATGTCTCTGCTACTTTTTTTTCACATTCATCACTAGAGGATATTGATCTCAGTAATAACAGTTTTAATGGAAAGCTCCCAAGATGGATAGGGAATGTATCACATTTGAAGAGATTGGCTTTGTCCAACAATCATTTCGAAGGTTTTATTCCAATGGAATTGTGCAACTTGTATGAGCTTGAATTTTTAGAGCTTTCTCAAAACAATTTATCTGGCGCTATTCCTTCTTGTTTCAGTCCACCATATTTGAGACATGTCCACCTGAAGAGAAACAGACTAAGTGGTCCATTGACACTTGATTTTAACAGCTCTTCATTAGTGACATTAGATCTAAGAGGGAATAATTTGATCGGTAATATTCCAAAATGGATTGACACATTTTTTGCTTTAAGCGTCCTTCTTTTGAAAGATAATCATCTAGATAGTGAAATTCCAGTTCAGTTATGCAAGTTGTATTCATTAAGCATCATAGATCTTTCTGAAAATATGTTTTCCGGTCCTATACCTTCTTGTTTGGGTAATTTAACTCTAGCAATGAAAATGGAGAAGTCATTGATAGCTGATGGTTGGTATGGAATAGGTATACCTGAGGATGTATCAACATACATGTGGATGATACTACCAAAAACTCGTATGTATCCTAATAGCTATATGGAAGAATGGATAGAGTTTACAACAAAGAGTATGTCCTACTCATACGGCGGTGACATTCTTGAGTACATGTCTGGGATTGATTTATCTTTTAATAGGTTAACTGGGCAAATCCCATTCGAATTGGGAAACTTGAGTGAAATCCATTCGTTAAACTTATCACACAATAACTTGGTCGGAGTTATACCTTCATCATTTTCACAACTTAAGCAAATTGAGAGTTTGGACCTTTCTTACAACAACTTGAGTGGTAGAATCCCTATACAGTTGGTTGAGTTGAACTTTCTAGAGGTTTTTAGCGTGGCACACAACAACTTGTCAGGTAGTACTCCAGAACCAAAAGCTCAGTTTGGGACCTTTAATGAAAGCAGTTACGAAGGAAACCCTCTTCTCTGTGGGCCTCCAATGCAAAATCACTGCTCTAAATCTCAGTCACCACCAACAGTACCGACTACAACAAACAATGAAGGAGAAGGTAGTTTCATGGACACATGTTTTTTGTGCGAGCTTTCTGGTTTCATATGTAATTGTTTTATTGGGAATTTTTGTTGTTCTATACATAAATCCATATTGGCGACAAAGTTGGTTTTCTTTCATTGAGAGTTGCATCACTACCTATCGCTACTCAATTTTGGGCAATTTTCTTGAGTTATACATCTTCAAAAGATGTGCGTAGGTGTCATGGGAGCTCTTATGATTTGCCTTTTGTTTGAATGTGGTGAAGATTTGGATAAAGTTGATTTTTGTTGTTAAAAGAAGTTTGGTGATTTGATCTTTTAAATGAAGGATTTCTTTTAGCTGACTATTCTCTTAAGATGGTTGTAAAACGAGTTGTGGATTTGGTTACTCAGATTGCTTAAAAAGATTACTTTGATGATTTTGCACTTTCAACAGAGCTTTTTGTCTTTGTCGAAACTCTATTTTTAGTATTCGTTTTGTTTTGAAGGAAACCTATAGCTTTGTGTCTTGTTGATTTTGTGTTTGTATACAAATATTCAATTCTCTATTCTCCATCTCCTCCAAGTTATTGTCAATATCTTTTCCAAGTTATTATTCAAATTGGTAATTTTTTTCCTTGTTACTTTTGAGTTAGTTTTGAGCTTCTAGTGAATGATTTTTGGCATAGACTGTAGTAAAGGCAAAGATTGCTGGCTATGGCCAACCAAAAAAATTCTTATAGTTTTATTAGTTAGATTCATTTGTTTTAACCAAACTTTATGTCAATCCTAAAAAGTTGTTTCAATTTATTTTCTTTGATGCTTAAAAAGTTGGATTTTAAACAAAAACAATAGCAGTAGTATTAGCAAGAATTTGAATTTTAAATGAAAAACATCACAATAAGTCAATAATTAAAAATATATCAGAATTTTTAAAAGAGTTTCCATCATATTTAAGTAATATGAAATAGTCAAGAATGTGCTTTTTCTTTTTTTTTTCTTTTATTTATCAATTTCTCATTTCTTGCCCTTTTTATAGAGGTTTTAATTTTATTAAAGTTACTTAATATTTGTTGTCTTTCAGAAATTAGTGTTAGTTTATAAAATGGGCCAAACAAGCATTAATCATTGAAAATATCATTTTGATTTTCAAATGAAATTATTTTCTTTTATAGGGTTACAAATTATTTGAAAATAAAAAAAATCAGGTTTATATATCCCAAACACATGTAAATCCAATGAAATAAATAAATTAAATGCACAATCTTCCAAAGCAACGATGAATATAGAGTGTTAGCCAATAAGATCATGGCTTAATAGTTATATTATAATTTGTTAATAGATTATTTAATAATTGTAACTTAATTAGAATATCATAATTGATTATTCAGTTACTTATATCTATGTAATACTTGATTATGATTGTAACAATTTTAAAAAACTAAAATTTTTGAATGCATGCTTTGCATGATTAATTTTTTCTTGTAAAAAAAAAAACTTAAATAATATATACCATATAAATAATGATTTCTAAAGTTTAAAGAGTTTCTCTTTGAAAAACAACACTCATTCTACTTTATTCAAAAATTTTAAAAAATAAAATTTTAAAAATATAAAAATATATATTAAAAATAAAAATAGCAAACGTATCAAAGGAAAAAAAAACCTCATATCTAATTTATAGATATTCACTAATTTATAAATAAAGAAATCGAAAAGCCAAAACAATTATTCAAATAAATACATATCAATTACTTAAATTATGTTTTGGAGCTTAAAAAGCTTTAAACAGATAAAAAGATAGTGAACTTAATAATGTGAGTGATCTTTAAGGTGGTGGTGGAATTGAGCCATAAGGTATGGATTGGAAACCACGGCTATAGTTAGGGCCGTAGATAAATGTATTTGAGTGAAATCAATTGACCCAATTAATTTTGAAAAACTATATATACGCATATATATATTCATAGAAAGTTTTTGGTTTTATTTTCTACATTGTTCCCACTAAATTTAAATAAAAATAAAAATTTATCTACTTTATAAAACAGAAGTACAAAGAAAATGACTTCAAAAAAATCATATCTGTTATATCATAATAGTTGTCTAATTATATGCATGGATACACTCAAACAATTATATATAGAGATTAGCAATTACAAAATAATGTTATTCGAATTTTTTCTGATACTGTGATGAGATATATGTAATTATTATCAATTTTATTTTAGATTTGGGGGAAAGGAGATTGGTTGGGTTAAATTAATGTTAGAGGTTCATCATTTATAAGTTTTTTTAAAAAATATAATCTACTTATATAGTGTTGAATTATATAAAATGTGCTAATAATCTTGTAACCTGTTGTTATTTAATAGAACATTAGACTCTTAATTTTTATGATCATGATTTAATCTCTTACACATTCAAATACCAAAAAAATAAAAGTTTAAATTTATATTAGAATGATCATTGATGAGTATTGTACACCTACCAACTTCAAACCAATACTGATTTTAGATATTAACACTAATTAACTTATTTAAAAATAATTAATTAAAATTAAATTAAAAAAGATTAGGGAAACCTAAACCGTTTTCTCACAAATTCATCTAAAAAGGTTTACAAAAACGTAAGAAAAAAAGTTAATTACTTATCTCATAAAAAATTTGCCAATGAAGATTTGATTCCATTCCCATTTGTTCTTTGCTGTAGATGGCAGTAACTTCTAACAAAAAAAGTGATAAATATTGATGGAAGAGATATCAGAGCCAATAGAAATTAAAGATATGATTGAACGAATAGAAGTTTACAATCCTTTTTCGATTAAAAGCCAATAGCCTAATCTAAAAGAGGTATTTTTTTATCAAAATTAATGAAAAAATGGAAAAGATGGGAAAAGAGATAAGAGAAAATTGCTAGAGCTTCTTCATTTTCTAATTAAAGCCCTAATTCATTTTTTTTCAATTAATTGTTGGTTATTAATTGTTAAACAGGTTAATTAAGGATTAAAGATTAATATGGATTAGTTTCAATCTTTTTAAATATTATAAGGTTATATTTTATTATTGGTTTCCAAAAATTTACTTTTATAATCATCTAGATGTAAATGAAACCCAAAATATATATAATATAAATTTTTTACATATAATTAAATATTATAAAACTTCTTTTTTAAAAAATTTAGCTAAGCCATTGGTTATGTGGTAAAATGTCTTTGATTTAAGAGGGGATTTTTTTTCCAGCCATTGTCGCCCCCCCCCCCCCCCAAAAAAAAAAAAGGACATCTGTGAGGAATTAAGAGTATCACCCAATGCGTCTTTCATGGCAAGGAAAGAAAACAAACAATGCTTTTTTTTTTTTTTTGCCAATTTTTCACAAATTTTGGATTGCCATTTTTGTTTTAATTTGGGCTTAGAAAGCCCCAAAATAATATGGGTTGCCTTTCATTTTCATTTTCCTTTCAAGATTTTGCTCTCTTACATTTTGTATTTTTGTAAAAATTTGTTTGCTTGTATCATTTAAAATAAACTTACATTTGTTAAAAGGAAATAAATTTTTGTAAAAAAATTACCTTTAGTTTTATCAAACAAGTTTAGATTTAAGTAACTTTTAATGACTTACCTTTAGTTTTTCCATTTTGATTTATCAGATTTTGACACATTCACTATATGGGTGAAAAAAATAATGTATTGAAAAAATGTTGCGTTTCAAAAAATATGTATGTAAAAAAGTGTATGTGGACAGATTTTTTTAAGTAGATATATGTATGTATCTTTTAATTTTAAATTTTTTTATAATATTTTATTTATTTATTTATCAATTCATCCAACTAAATTTGTGTTATTTGATTCATAACATAAATTTTAACCAAAAAATTTATATTAGCACTCGACTTTTGATACAATGAAAAAAAAAATAATGTTTTGAAAAAAATTGTGTTTTGAAAAAAATATATGTAAAAAAAGATGACTAATTTTTTTAAAGTGAAAGCACATATGTATCTTTTATTTAAAATTTTTTTTTGCCAATTCACCCAACTAGTTGCGATCACTTGAGACATCAAATTCAATCAGGAGTGTATGACTATAAATATCTATACTAATGCTAAAGGAATATTGTACTGTTAAGAGCAGTAGGGGCAGATCCACCCTTTCCTCATGAACATACCTAAAATTTGAAAAATAAACAAATTTGAAAGAAAAATTTTCATTGGATATTCCCAAAATTTTTTCATCCAAAATTTTCTCATGAACATTATTTTCATCTATAAAATTAATAAATTTATTGATAAATTTTTATATGAATTATAAGTGGACACAAAAAGAAAAAAATTCTAAATCCATCGCTGAAAAGCAGATATAGGATGTTATGTTGATCAATGCAAAGAAGTGATAGGCCAGAAGGAACAACCAGGAGGTATGGAAAAGAATATGGTCTGTACAGGTTTCAACTAAGATTAGATCTTCCATGTGGTGGGTTTGTCACGGTATATTGCAGGTAATGGTTAACTAGGCAAAAAGGCAGATTCCAGTGGAGAAAACTTACTTGCAGTGCAGGGTGGTGAATAGGAGTGATTATATGAGACAGTGAAGGGATGGTAATGGCTGCACACACGGTCAACTTGCCAAGAATAACAAACCCCGTTTGTTATAGAGGCCCTAACTGTAGTTCGAGCGATCGACTTTGGGATTTAGAGAAATTAAGCTAGAAGGTGATGCTTTAACAATGGTAAGAAATTGCAAACTTCGAACACATACCTTTCTCCTCTAAGACCAATTTTAGACGAAGCAAGAATCAAAATGACACAATTCAGCAACTGCTTTATAACACATAGCAGATATTCAGGGAACGAGGTAACACATTTGCTAGCTAAGCATGGATTACAAATTCGAGGTGAATTGTACTAGGTAAAAGAATGTCCTGAACTCGTTTAAACCATTGTAACTACTAATGCGAGCTTGAATTATGAATGAAAGAGTTAATAGTTTATTTCAAAAAAAAAAAAAATTTAAATGATTGAACTCCACTTTTCCTTTAGTTCATTTCTGCATCTCCACTACAAAACTCTCTGCTAATGCCGGCCCCCTTTCTTTTGCATAGAAAGAAAGCCTCTGCATTTGTCTTTTTGTAACAATCTCACTGCTAAGCCTCTGCATTTCCGTCTAAGCCAAGTGCATTTGCTCTCCATGAGGTTACTATCTTCGTCTTCCTCTAGTCCTCTAACTTTTTCACGTTTTTACATCATTGTTTTTCAAATAGTTTTGAGACAAAAATCTAACAAATCTTTTCTTAATTTTTTTAAAATCCTAACTTTTTTTGTAACAATCTCACTGCTAAGCCTCTGCATTTCCGTCTAAGCCAAGTGCATTTGCTCTCCATAAGGTTACTATTTTCATCTTCCTCTAGTCCTCTACCTTTTTCACGTT